TGCTATCATGGGAGGTTATTATGGGAAACTACTGATGGATTATGGGGCTGCGGCAGCTCAGAGGTTAGCACACTGAGCTGCAGACTGGAAGGTCTGTAGTTTGGTGGTTCGGGACCCTAGTGCTGCAGGATGGAGTGAGCTCCCGTCTCTGGCCCAGCTCCTGCCAACCTACTAGTTCGAAAGCAAGAAACTGCAAGTAGATAAGTAGGTACCACTTTGGTGGGAAGGTAACAGAGTACTCTGCACCTTGGCATTTAGTCATGCCAGCCACATGACCACGGAAACGTCTTCGGACAGCGCTGGCTCCTTGGCTTGGAAACAGAGATGAGCACCACCCCCTAGAGTCAGATTCAACTGAGCAAGGGAAACCTTTACTTACTGATGGACTTGCACAGAAGTCTTCTCAGATTTCTTCAAAATTCAAGGACTCTAACGGACATCACTCTATATTAGGAAGTGCTCATCTTTTAAACAGTGGCTTTAACATGCAAAATGGTAATATTTAATCCCTATGATTTAAACAAATCCCATACCAATTTTCTTTCTTTTCACAGGAATACAGTGCTTTACTATCTGTTTTTTATGTAGGTTATATGTAGACCTAGTACAGACTGTAAACTATTAAGTCCTAAATGTTAGAAGTGGAGAACTTGGCGCTGTCTCCTGTCTCAGACTTGAGAAGATGGCACCAAAGAGTTTAGACAGATAGAGCGGTCAGGACACACAGAGCATCCTTTCCTTCCTGCTATCTGATCCTTTCCTTTGAAGTAGAATGCTACTCTTAGGGGCAATTTCCTCTGTTTCCGCTCCCACTCTCCCACACACTCTCTTCTCTCCTCCATGCATGAAGAAGGTGCTTGATCTCCATCTTGCACCATGGAGGCTGGACATGCGTCCAGCATCCAACACCATCTAGCTAGTTAGAATAGGTAATCTATATCTATCTCTTACCTGCACTCTCAACCATGTATTTCCTTTAAGAAATGTTACTTAGTTTTTTAGAACTGACTGCTGACCAGGGGTCATTTCGTAGAAAAAGAGCTAGGGGGACTCATTAGCATAACTCATTAGCATATGCCACACCCCCTGACATCAGCGGAAGTGTGTCCTCACCACAGCCGGCAGCGACCTCCAGCGGGCACCAGCAGGGAGCTCCAGGCCCCGCCCTCCCACACCTCACCCGGGGGGATGACGTCCCCCCGTGTCCCCCCCCAAATGACCCCTGCTGCTGACTCCATGTGACTTTGTAAGTCTGTTGCCACACCAAGCCCCAAGCTCTGCTGCGTTTAAGCCTTTGTGCACTCTGCTATTTTTCCATGGTTCCCTGGCAGTACCTAGTCTAGAGAATCCAACACTAAATACTTTGATACTATAAACCTTAAATGCCATCCCTTTCTTTATATTCCATTCAGACCTTTCTGATCAGCCCAGAATGTCTTGAATGAATAAGGTTATGTACCAGAAAAGTCTTGGTGACTGCATGACAAAAGTCTCAGCTGAGAACCTCCCTGATCAGAGGCATCAACAAACTACAAGCCTAAACAGTTTCAGAACTATTGTAAGCCTTCCACATATACATTGCCTTTTATTTAGAATTTTGCTGTTATTCTTATAACGGTTAAGGGCAAAGCCAGTAATTAAAACAATAGGACTCTGCACAAGTTACAATGTGAAAAGTATATGTTTAGCAGGAGTACATCACAAGGTACTCGTTGTGGGGAGGGTAAGAGAATGTGACTGTAAGCTACTTTGAGACTCCTTAAGGTAGAGACTAGCAGGGTATTAAAACCTTCTTTTCTTCTTCATCATCTCCTTGCACTGTCCCTAGTCATAAATTAATTGACTGGGGAACAGCCTACTGAGGTACAAGCGTATGTACAAGAGCTTTGTCCTTACAACTAAGGTATCTGGCAAATGTGGGGCGCTGATTGCATATACCTTCTTCACAAGTTATACTGCATATACACAAACGTCCGGCCAATGACACTGAACACATTCAATTTCACACACAAATTGTAACTTGTGAATAGTCTGTATTGTTTTCTGCAGCTGGATTCAGCACCTCTGGGGGAATATCAATCCATTTTTGCAAAGAACAGTTCATATTTCCCTTGGGGATTTTTTCTGGCTGGCTTTCCTGTGTTTTTAGTGAGTTATCTCAAGCCATCAATGGGATACTGTGGGTTAAAAATGAAATGAAATAAATGAAAGAAAATATTTTTAAACAAAACAGTAAGTAAAACCATACAGCCATACATCTTAAATATTCTGCAGAAAATCAGATCCCTCGTGTCCTAGAACACAGCAAAAGGGACTTCAATCTGACCTGTCATTTGTCAAAGAGCCTTATAAACAAGCCATGCTTAAAAATAAAATAAACCAAGTAAAACATTCACTTCTGTTATTTGTCATTTTTTTAACTTTATTAGTATAATAGAATTACAGTTTGACATAAAATAATGAGCTTTTGCTAAACTCTGTAAAGCATTACATGCGTCTGCCATAAACAACCTCTGTTAATAGATTTAGGTTTTATTGCCACATCACTGCACGGAGGTGCAATAAACATTCAATGTCATCTGTTTAAAAAAAATTATCCCAGGAGTAAACAGAAACTGTCCTCTATAAGAGTGTATCATTAATTTCAAGGAAGACTTACTATTATTACATGGTTTAGCAAAGCACTGTAAAAAAGCTACATAGAGAATACCTTGTCTTTGATAAACTGTGCAATCAGGTTTATACAGTATACTATTCACATAGACTAACAAACTAAGAGATGACATAATGCTGTCATTGCATAGCAAAAAAGCAGACTAGTTAAGTAATATTCACATCTAATGTGCAAAAGGCAGACCAAAAGGGAGCAAAATGGAGAATCAGGAAGGTAAAATGCCCTTAATGAACACACTAGATTAAAACGCCAAAAATAACAAGATAAACAAATACCAAAGTTAAAGAGTCGTAGTTTATTTTTTTCTATACATATATCTACACATAATACCAGAAGATTACACATCCTCTTTAATAAGCTCCAATCAGATTAGCTCATCAAGTTTAGACAGGACTAGATGGTAGACAATGAAGCATTAGGTTTTAGGTTTTTTTTAAAGTCTTTCCTAAAGAAAAAAAAGTTAATGAGTTCAGTTTGTAGATACTAAGTGAGCAGCAACCTCTTGATTTACTGAGAAAGAGTATATAAAACATTGCCTGTAACATGTATAGATATCAGACTACCTTATTCGCTATTTCAATTGGAAGTCCATGTCACATTGTTGTTGTTGTTGTTGTTGTTTAAATGCATTCACTACGGTGTATAACGGATTCTGAACCACTGTGTTAAATGCTCCCAAAAATCTATCTGCCTCTCCAACATTTTGGAAATATCCATCTCTGGAATTGGATCATTGTTTTAAATAATTTTTCAGAAGAAATAAAACTGGCCAGAACTGCTTTGTAGGAATTACTAATAACTTGCAAAACGGACATCTTGAATTTAAAGCCCTTACATATTGTTCCTACAAATATATTGCTACAGTAAAAATGAAATGTTATAAGTTTACTCAATAAAATTTATTTTCCTGTACATTCTTTTGTGTGTTTTTTTCTGTATGTAATGCTACATATATTACATCACTTATTGTCAACAGTTATGTATCAGCAAATATAGCAATAATATACAGATAAATTTTGTCTTAAACATTTTACCATTTTCCTACCAAATATAATTCCATATTTCAGTATCCACACATTACCTGAGCATACCAGTCATAAGTCTAATGGTAGACACTGGATGACAGTTTCAAACTGCAGGCCACTGTACACATAGCCACTTTACAAACTGAACAAATCTCAAGCTCTCTTCTTTAATTTTTTATTTTTCTTTGCTTTTCATTTTCTTTGAAGTGCCACTGACTTCTTTTAATGCAAGCTCTAAATATGTTAATTTTTTTTTGTAAAGTATAACAACATATCCAGAGCTTAGAGGTTTAAGAACATAAAAAAGTTTTTAAAATGTACAATCTCATGCTGTATATTTACAGATATTATTGAAATAATAGTGTTTTTGTTCTTGTTTTTTGTCTCTTGGCTAACTATATGTCTCAATCTAAAGCTTTTAATGAACCATTTTATAAAATAATACATTTAACATATCTAGAGCTTGCAAAACAGTGCAGTTTTTCTTCTTCTTAAAATAGACAAGAATCCTTTCCAAATCATCCAAATGTTGTTTTACCTAACATTTTTCAAGGAATTTTAGCTCTGCACTTAATTGTGCAATTGACTGATTGTTATCAAGTCAAGAGACCATTTGATGCTTAAAATAAGATTGTAGTGAGAGAGCATATCGGAGCATTCATTATATTTAATTTAATGTGCTGTTCTGTGATCACCTGTATCATTAATAAGTAGGTTTTTTTCTTGTATGTAAATACACTATATATTTTAAAACTGGTGGTCAGGAATTTAGGTAAAAAGAAATCTAGGAAAAATATCTGTATCTTCTGGAATCCACCACTTTGGAAAGATGCATATCTTATAAAATAATTTAAAATAAGCAGCACTTCAAAAATGAAAAATACAATACTGTATGTGCAACATGAACATTTATAAACACTGTTTAACCTTCTATCATTTTGCATAAAAATATTTCTCTTCTGACATGTACAGCATCTCTTATGGGGGACATTCAACAACAGGCTATCTACATGTGGTTTAGATTTCTTATATTTACCTCTTGTTCAAAGTTGCGGTTCAGAATCTGATGTCTACATCACATTGTTACAGCCCTAGAGTACAGTTTTAGTATCTTTTCTATTTTATATATATATATATATATATATAATATTTATATATATTATATACTTTTATTTTATAAAATAAGGAAATCTCCATTTCTTTAAGACAGAGGCAATGAAGTAAATGGGAATTGTTGTGTGTTAAAACCAAAAAACAATCCCCAGTGCAAAAGAGATGGAACAAATGATATGGTTAGCAGGGTTAGAGAGGAGGGGTTTGGTCTTTAAGTTGAGGCTCCCTATTTAAATAAGTAGCCCAGTACACTAAATTAAAAATTCCAAAAAGCAAAGGGAATGCTATTCTTGATAGTCGATCGATTTTGCTGACACTGTTAAACGTTTTCTTGGGTTCCGGAGGTTTTGTTTCTGCTTTGACGTCTTTTGGCTCTATTGTTGCACTTTTAGCAATGGTTGCCAGTCCAGGGTCCCTTGCAATATTAGGAGTGAAGCTCGTGGCTGTTGCTGGTGCTGTAAATGAATTATTTTTCATAATGAGGGGATCCTTTACTTTCTTTGGCTAGAAATTAAAAAAAAAATTAATTGAACACATTTTTCCACTGCATGTTAAATTTTATAAATATTGCAATGTTAATACTTAACTGAAATATTCTATGTTTTATATAACAACTCGGTATAAGACCCATTGTGGAAATAAATACAACAAGCTCTAGAAAGAGGCTCTGTGAGAGTGCCCCGGCCTTGGGTACTCAGCGTCAATTTGCTGTGGCAACCTCAGCAGGGTATAATGACACAGAGTCCATGATTTTCTCCAGAGGAACTGATCTCTGCTACCTGAAGAGGAGTTGTAATTTTGAGTGATCTCCACCCCTCACCTGGAGATTGGCAACAGTGGTCCCTCAGGAGGAAATAGCTGGTTTGGAGGGTGGAGTCTATGGCATTGTCCCATCCCTCCTCAAACCCCACCCTCTCCAGGCTCCACCCCTCAAGTATCCAGGAATTTCCCAACCTGGAGTTGGCAACTCTATCTCCTTCCCAGCAAATCATCAATCTGCCATTATCTGCCCCTCTGACTTTTGGTTTCCATCTCTCCCTGTAGCCTCTACCTAGTAAAAGTACAGTCTTTATCCAAAGTGGTGGCCAAAGCAGGTCACATCATTCTCCTCTCCCCCTTTAGATTTGCACAACAACCCTGTGAGGTGGGTTATGCTGAAAGTCTGTGAGTGGTCTGAAATCACCAAATCAGCTTCTACAGGAAGAAACTGGGGCTGGCAGACCCTGCTCTGAACTGCTAACTGCTACATCACACTGGCTGCCTTGCGGGGAGGGGCACCTCAACAGGGTATAATGGCACAGAGCCCACCAGGGAAACTGATCTCTGCCATCTGAAGAGCACTTGTAATTCTGAGTTATCTATGACATTGTACCTGTGTGAGGTCCCACCCCTCCACAAACTGCACTGTCTGGACCAAAGACAAACACTCTCCCGTTCTCAGGTGCTGAACTCACAGCCACCTGGGGCCTTGGGATCCTCACTGGGTCTTGGTCCTTTTCTGAGGCTCTTTTACATCTGTGTTCCTCTCAAGGATGCAGACAGACACTCAGCAGACACTCCCAGCAAGATAGGTTAAAAATACCTCTGCATTTATTTGAATCCTTCAGATAACAAAGAGTGTTTGCTCGGCAGAAACCACTCACAAAATACAGCACTGGCAAAAAACAACAACAACACTATACTTGCACTGGGGTAATCTTGCGACCTGGCTTTCTCACCCGAAGGTTTAAGAAAGAGAGTCCACTCCCACAGGCATAGTCCACAGCATTCCTGGTTGCAGTCCTGAAGGCCTCAGCCTCTGTTCGTTCCCTGTGTGACTACTGCCCGACGTTCGGTAAAGGCCTCTTATCAGTTGGTCAAGGCCACCAGGTGTTTTTAATTAACGCTCAGCCCCAAACAGGCTGCAACCAGCCTGTGAAAACTTATAGCTTGGTCGCATTAATAAAAGCCTAAGTTCTGTAATTTCCCTGTGTGACTACTGCCCAACGTTCGGTAAAGGCCTCTTATCAGTTGGTCAAGGCCACCAGGTGTTTTTAATTAACGCTCAGCCCCAAACAGGCTGCAACCAGCCTGTGAGAACTTATAGCTTGGTCGCATTAATAAAAGCCTAAGTTCTGTAAGTTCTAATCCTTACACCTCCCCCACTCCATCGACACGGTCAAAAGACCATGTCGGTGGAGTCACACAAGAATAAAAATTATTGTCCCAAATACAACACAAGCAACATACATAAACCAAATAACAATATATGCAAAGGTAACAAGTTAACAACAACAATAAAATTTAAAACCATTAAAAGGCACAATTACAAGTAGCACTTCTTAACAATATGGAACTGAAAATATGTAAATCAGCATAACAACACAAACAATTTTTTTTTTTGGCATCCATGCAAAGATCAGCTAAGATGTTCTTGCTTTTAGCATAGATGACATTGAATCCTGGGAGGGGTCAGGGCTCACCCCAAAGACTGTGAGGTTACTC